CAGAACTCAATTTTACTATATTTGGCCCTTGTTTTCGCGAATATACTGATTTTATTGTGAGTAAAATTGCCTGTAGCAAGGTATTATGTATATGCATAATGAGCTACATATGTATTTCTAAAAAAATATTAAATAGTAAATAAACAAAAGAAAAGGGTAAAGCCAAAACTGGTAAACATAAGGCATTTCTATTATTGCCACTAAAATTCCGAGATTTTCGGGACTGAAAATAGCCCGGGATTCCGAGATTAACATTCCTAATGTACATACATACATACATACATATGTAATTATGTATGATTTCGAAAACTAAAAAATAAACAAACCTTTTTCATCTGACACATGTATTGTGTTACATATTTAAATTATCTAATACTCTTAATTCAAATTAAATTTAATTACAAAATCAGGTGGCAATCCTCCTACATGCAGTTTGGAAATAAAGTTTCTTAAAATCAATTTTGATTTACATTCACATTGAAGTAATTTATATAACCTATTGCTTATATTGAATCTAACTTTTTAACAAGGTGGCAACCCTCTGCAAAACATTTTCAAACCAAAACCTCTTTCGTCTGACATCCGTATCAGGATATACATTTCAATTTTCTGCCTTTATTTAAATCGAACTTGCTTTTTAAAATAGGTGACAACCATACTACATATAATTAAGAAACAAAACCTTTTCAATTCCATTTCGATCGATACTCATAGTGTAATAATTGATTTAACTTAAAAATAATTTGAAGTTAATTTCTTTATTGCATGGCAACTCTTTGTGAAAAAACAGGCAGTTATCCCACATCTGCAGACCAAGCTCTTTAACTTGATACCTCATTTTGTAAAATCGTACGAACGGTACAGATTTGATATGACGAAAAAGTTTTCGCGTATTATGCCTCGCGTATTATAAACTCATTAAAAAAATGAAAGAGAAAGGTAGGATGAACGAACATCATTAAAGGTTTAATAAAGATATGTTGGTATGTGAAAAAAGGTACACGAATTAATTTTTTTTTTTTTTTACAGAAAGAAAAACAGTGGGAAAATACCTTTCTACTGAGATCCCGTAAGTCCAAATCAGAATAGTTTTGGCCCGATTATTCAAGTGTTTCGTAAATCAATCTTCGAAAAAAGTAAAAAACAGCTTAATCTGCTCTGCCATCTGAGGGTACTTTCTTTCAGAAAGTTCGTTAAGAAACTATTTTTATTCATAAAAAAACTCCATTTTTGGAGCCTTTTTTCAAATCGACCCAGCAAATCTTAATATTTTTCTGAAATATTTTGGTGGACGTCTTAAAATAAAATAGGTTTTGTAATCCTGGCGGAAAAACCGCAACTTTTTTTGGTCCAGCAAATCTTAATATTTTTCCGGAATATTTTGGTGGACGTCTTAAAATAAAATAGATTTTGTTATGCCGGCGGAAAACCGCAACTTTTTTTTGGTGATGTAGTCTAATGTACATATATAGTAGAGTAGATTACTAAAAAAAAAACCAAATCCACATTAACTGCAATGAGCATATGTACGTATGTATGTATGTAACTATTTACATACAGGATCTGCGATTAGGTTATAAATATTGCGCCATCTGTTACTCAAAAACCAAAATACCTGCCTCCTTCTCTCACTTCCAATGCAAGCACGTATTTGTAAAATGATGAAGTGATTTTGTATGGAAAATCATTTATTCCCATATATTTGAATAAAATAAACATATGTAGTTAGAAGATGTCAACCAATACTTCCCATATACCGAACAAAATCTTTCGAGCGGTTTTAGAGTATTTTGATAATAAATAAAATTTTATTATCTTCAAAAATTGTTTGCCTTAAAATGCTCAATTCATGTTGAATTTATATAAAACTAGCGGTACCCCAGTGTGCTTCTCTACACCAAATATTGAAAAATATTGAAAAATGAATGAAAAATTCTGGAATTTTTCTGTATTAAAATTTATCATTTGTTTTGTTTCAAAATTGTTGATTCTTTATTTTAAATCTTAATCCAACACATTTGGATATACAAAATTATTTGTTTTTCCATTTTGGGTATGAATAAATAAACAATTTGGAATGCCAACTCTTGAACAGGCCATGCACAGCTACCAATTCCAGTAATCTACCACAAATATTTCAAGAGATATACCAGATGAAAGTTTTTGTTAGTATGGGTGGTTCCACTGCCCCTTTTCCGAATTCGGGGAAACTTAACACAAACCATCTGCATAATAGCCCGACTATGCATAATACCGCCCATTTTTCTCCATGAGTATGGAATTATTTGATATAACTCTATACCAACCAGTACTCTACCACAAATATTTCAAGAGCTGTACAACATAAAAATTTTAGTTAGTATGGGAGGTGCCACACCCCCTTTTACGAATTCGGGCAAACTTCACACAAACTATCTGCATGATAGCGTGAATATGCCGTATAAATTTGGTTGAATTCGGAGAAGCCGTTCTCAAGTTATAAGCTCACACCAAAAACGTGTACTTATTTTTATACATAAGAAGATACATATGCCACGCCCCTTTTTACAAATTTGGGCAAACTCCACATAAAATATCTGCATGATGGCCCGAATATGCTATATAAATTTGGTTGAATTCGGTGAAGCCGTTCTCAAGTTATAAGCTAAGTCACTAATTTTTATATATAAAATAGAGGCGCCACGCCCCCTTTTCCGAATTCAATCAAACTTCACATAAACCATCTGCATGATAGCCCGAATATGCCGAATAAATTTGGTTTGATTCGGTGAACCGTTCTCAAATTAAATAGTTAAAATAGTGTAACTGATGTGTTTTTTTCGCATCCTTAAAAATCCTGGTGGCGCCACCCCTGGAGGGTCGCCAGACTTTCAGGTAGTTTAATGGGCCGTCATAGCGGACTCATCATGAAAGTTCTAGCCTGGTTATAAATAGTGTAAGAAAAACGTTGCCAGCTCTTGGACTATAAGCTTTTAGATCGACTTTTTTGTTATATGTTGTTATTGTTGTATGCTGGTCGATGTACTTTTCCATGTGCAAGAAAAACACTTTGACTGACTTCCAAAACGTAAATTGCTTTGCATACGTACAAAGTATAAGGTTCCATAACGTCGAACTACAAAATATTGACAATGTGTACTGCTCCAAAACGCATCCGAAAAGTTATCGAAACGCATCGCTAGAGCAATCAGCGCATCAGAAACTAATGCCATGTTCTGACCGACATCGAAAACATGTTTTCGTTGCTAAACCTGGTTTTCGACCTAAAACTTGTGTTTTCGTCCATGTAAAGTCTGTCAAACGAAAACCAGTTTTCGCTGAAAACTACTTGAAAACTCACGTTCCACCCATTCCAATCGGTGTCTTCACTAGTTTTTTTCGATTATTTATCGAAGTGGAAGTCATATTTTATCATCTTTAATACGCCATTTCGGATTTATTGTTAATTGGCTGGCCAAAGAAAAAAAAAATTAAAGTAAGAGGTTGCTAATGAAAAGAAAATGAGGGAAAAGCATTTTGGTTCGATCTTTCGTAGCAAAACTGTAATCAGAGGATGAAAGAAATGTCATCGAAAACACTAACAGCCGGTGTGAACAGTCTTCAGCCCACAATCCCAAAACTCGTTTTCAAAGTGTTTTCGTTGTCGGTCAGAACATGGTATAAGTTGATGCTTCGTTTGTTATTGGTTAGCATTGGTGTTGTAGAAATGGAAAATTCAGAAAAATATTTCATTGCTATAGTGAATATTTAAAATATGCAATGTATATTGTTGCAATGTGTCGCAACTCTGCATATACAAATAGTTTAAATACCGCAGTATTACAGTTTTCAAACATTGTATTGATACGTTTTGGAAGTCAGCCTTTTTCTCCACTTCTTTGCCCAACGTTGTTACCGTTGAAACACAATGCCGACGAACGGCGAATTTTCGCACAGTAGTGCGACGACGGCGGCAACTTTCGCCCAAAAATTTCGCTCAGTAAACACAACTACGGCGACAACGAATTCAGCTGCTTATGACAAGGTACAATTAAAATTTTTACAAACAATAAGATTATTTTATTTTAACAAAAACTAATATAGTATTTTTCAATTTCGATTTAAAAACCTCAGAATATTTAGCATATGACCGCAATGGATCGCATTTTGCCGCTGCCGCCAGTGACGACAATAGAAATAAGTCTATCGTTGCGAACCAAGGCGAATTTATACAAGGTGGTATTGTAAGATCAGCTGATTTCTTCGCCTTACATGTATCTTGAATTTGCTGTTATTGATTTGACAGCGCAAAAACAACATACATATAAACTTTGGGGCGAATTGAGACTTGACATAACACCAACAATACAAAATACATGTGGTTGTTGTTGTTGTAATCTAAATTCGCCAGTAACACCACCTTGTATAAATTCGCCTTGGTCGCGAACAGTCGTGGGACGAACGTCGTCGTTTGCTTTGGTAGTGTGCGTTCTCATATACAACAGTGTGTTTTAATTTTTACAGCGAACATTCGCAGCGAAAAATTCGCGGTTCGTCGGCATTGTGTTTCAGCGCTTAGAATCATCAGGGGCGGTGATTGTGTACAAAACAGAAATATATGTTTGTTTACCAATGATTAGTTTTTATATGTCCAAAAAAGCTCACAATTTCTATTTTAAATAACCTTGTTTTTCCTCTGTTTTTTGTTGATATTTGTGATAAAGAATCGCCCTTGATGATGCTAAGGTAGTTAGCGATACGTTGGGCAAAGAAGTGGAGAAAAAGTGTTTTTCTTGCATATGGAAAAGTAGATCGACCAGCCTACAGCAATTACAACAAAAATTTAGAATATTATTATATTTATGTATATTGTTAATAACTTTAGTACACAAATCTATCCTTTTGGCAACATACTTAATAAATTGCAACTAAATTACTTTGTACCATCCTAACTCAGCAAGTGGCCCATTAATTACGAAATATTTATCCACTTTTCAGCTTCAACGGCATGAACAGAACAACGAAACGAGACAACAACAAATTAAATAAGCAAACCAAAACGCAACAGTAAAGTGTCCACTCAACGCCTCCCCGGAAAACACAGTTGGCGGTTAGGTCGCAACGAAACGAACTGCAAATCCGAGTTTCACCCACGCCCTTATATTAACAAACAGGACAAACGTAAAAAAATAAACATGAAAACTTTATTACTTTATGGCGTTGCTAATGCCGCCATGGCTGTGGCTACTTTAACACACAGCGCAGTGGCAAGCCTCAGCTTTAGTTCCACCGCAATACAAAATAAAGTCCCAACACACACACAAACAACGTTTCCAATGCTTTCAGTCGCCTCAATCCCTCCTAATGAAGCATTGTCACTAAGGGAATTGGCAATACCGACAACAGCAGCTACCGCAGCGACGGCAGTCACAAGCTTCAGTGCCGGAAACAGCAGCAGGATAGTGGATGACGGAGGCGGCGATGGCGGCGGATTCGCTGCTTTCATAGACAATTTCGTGCACACCATGAGCACAACAACCAGTCTTGCCGACTACAGCAACCACAGCGCAGCCGACAATAGCACAGCTATGGACGTGAATGGAATGGCGGCCACCGAAATTCCGTTTGTGCCTTACGTAATGCGGCCGGAAACGTACATTGTACCGGTATTATTTGCGCTCATCTTCATAGTGGGCGTACTGGGCAACGGTACGCTGATTGTGGTCTTCCTGGGCGTGCGGCAGATGCGAAATGTGCCGAATACGTAAGTATTTCAAGGGAGATGCGTACAAGGAGTGGGGAACTTTATAAAGTCAAAAGAAGGGTAAGCGGTGTGAAAGCATTACATTTATAGTATTTTATGAAGGGAAAAATAACAAATCTTGTGGCTGAAAATGTGTGAACTGCAAGCCTATAGAATTATACGCCAAAGCATGTCGCACAGTCACCAGCACGACGCACAGTGCCGCCCAAGTGGGCAAAAATCGAAAAAGTCGTTGTCTACAGTGTTAACGTGTTTGTTATTTTTGTAAAGGTAATTTATTCACTAAATATAATTAAACAGAAAGTTCCCTGTGAAATAAATTATATTATTATATATATATTAGGAAGCCACTAAAGTCAACAAATTTTATATAGAATTTTAATAATTAAGCTCTTCACGGAATTAAATGTCAAAAATACATTTTTTTAAGTAAAATGTTGGTTTGACGTTTTTTATATCCATATATAGAGCAGAGAACTACCAGAGGCTGCATTTCTTTATACATTCCGGATAATCCCATTTCACAGCCGGAATAAACAGAATGCGTTTGAAATATACGTCAACATATCATCAGGAACGTTCTGAAGAATAAATAAACAAAAAAGTTTATTCCAAACTTTCAGAATGAATAAAGAAATGCAGCCAGAATAAAAATTTTGGAATGAAATCAAATACAGGGTGTCCCGACAGTATTCCAGTAAAACAATTTTTTTTGATAAAAATTTAAAAAATGGTAACTTTTAATGGAATGAATAAAATATATATGTTAAAATATTTTATTTTTTATTATTTTGTTTAATAGTACGGGTTTTAAAATTTCGAATGAGAAAATAAAAATTTACGTAAAATCAGTTTTCATTTTTTTGTCAGTTCCATCAGATCTGCGCGATTAGTTCGATTTTCAAAAATGATGTGTCAGATTAAAACGACTGACCTGTATATAAAAACGTTAATTTTTTTAAAGAGTTGCCACCTGTTAAAAGAATAAATAAATAATTAGTTAGTAAGTTATAAGTTACTAAAAGTTAGGTATCAATCTTAACTGTATGTAGGAGGGTTGCCACCTGTTTAAAAAACTAATTAATTTGAATTAGGGGAATTAGGTAATTAAAACAAATATATATCACTGTATGGGAGTCAGGCGAAAGAGGTTTAAGAAGGTTTTAAGAAGATTTTAGCTTGCAAATATAAGTGGGTTGCCACCTGTTTGTAAATTTAATTCAATTAAAATAATATTCGTGTCAAACGAAATGTTTACGACATCGTATTTTTATTTTTTATTTTATTACAATGTACATACACTGCCAATAAATGATTTGTTCTGATTAGCCTGATTCACTGTAGCTCGTTTCTGTAACAATTCTCTACCAAGGCGAATTGAGATATGAATTCGCCGCCCTGTTCTCTACGCTAATAAGTAGTAGAGAATGACGTATATTCTTTACCAATAGACATATAATCGATAGAGAAGAGTTACAGAAACGGGCTGCTGGACCCTTAAATTAACTTTAAAGTTTCAGGAATTTTTTACTCTTCACTTATATGATACACGTATTTCAGGTACCTAATTCCGTTAGTTAAATTGAATTAGATTTCTTAAGAAGATTTCGGTTGATACCCAGGTGGCAATTCTTAAAAATAAAATAAAATTTTGGTGCACATCTGCAGGCCACGCCTTGTAATTTGACACTCACTTTTGAAAATAGAACGAACTATATGTACATACCTAGGTAAATGCTGCAAGAATCCAACTTTACAACTTCAAACTGCATTTATAGTGAAAGAATGAAAGTTATCGAAAAACAAACTGCAGTTTTGAATTCAACGTCCTCAATTTCTCTAAAAACAAATTTTCATAAAAATCCGTCCATAATTCTATTTTTGCCCATATTTTATATGGAAGGTAAGCACTGTGCGACGGAGCGTATAAGTACTCTGCGCTTGGAATGAAAGTGAATTAAGTTTGTTTTTTTTTTTAACCTGGATTCAATGCAAATATTAGGGCAGGGCGGCGTTCGAGCGTGAATTGAATAATAATAAAGATACTGCAAAAACTCGATAACAGCCCTTAGTGAACTTAGTGTTGTAAAATAAGCACTGCACGTTAGCCTGGGCCCCTTGCAAAAAGTATTCACTCAATAGTTGCGTTCGCGTAGCTGTTAAATGTTCATATTTAACCAAAACTTTCAGGTTTTTGCGGTCGCGTACGCAAAAAACTTGCAAAGTAGGGGAAATTGAGAGAGCAAAGTGACATTTAATTTTGAGGGGAAGCTGCTAGTTTCTGCTGGAAAAATTTTTGCCAACAGGAAAAAAGCTGGTAGGAATTTATGCAAATCACAAAATTGAATTTGATGGTTTGGAAGTTAAAATGATAAAATGCGACTAATTAAACTTGTAAGAACTAAGTAGTTGCTCGTTTAATCAATAAACTGTGTCAGGAAAACTTTTTGTGATGAGTTTTCGTACGTTTTAAATATTACAATTTTGAATGTAAACAAAAATTCCATCAGCTGTTCGTCTAACTTGCAAGTTTCTGCAAATTTTCTGTTCGCGTACCATTTTGGATGTCCCTGCAAAAATCGTTGGACCATGTAGTCTATTTGTGGTATATTGGAGTACTTACAAAAGCGTGTACAAACGAAAAAATATAACAACAATGCCATTGTTAATATGCTGGAGTAGTTTTGTCATACTCTGATGTAATGCAGGGATGGAGTATATGGTCCTGCCCTAGAACATCGTAGTGTTAATTGGACCATATTCTTTATATGAATTGTGGTTAATTTTGGAGTATTCCTTGGTCCTTAGGGAGTACTCTTTACACGCATGCATGGAGTAATCGCGATTTTTGCAGGGGTATTTCTCTTGTGAGAGAACAGATGACATTTCGCCGGAGCTTCGCTGTTGAATGTTTTTTACTTACTGTTTACTGTTTTAAACGAACGCGCCTAATGTAAACATATTAGGCTCATTGCTGTTTGTCGGTGGCTGTTTATCGTCGGTTGTTTGTCATTTTCCATCTTCATATTAAAGCACAAAAAATATGTTGTGTTGACTATTTTATTCTTTTAATTTACGTATGCACATACATACATACATACATGTAATGCAGCTAATTTGGCAAAGCGTGGGCGCGACTTTGTGTTTTCTTGCATTTGTGCCGCATAATTGGAACACATCAATGTGTATTTTAGGCATTATTATGTAAGCTAATACGTGCTATAATTAAAAAAAACACGAATACAGGTTAGAGACGTGTACGTAATAATCTCCTGTAAATATTTTGTTTGGGGTTGATCTATTTACTTTCAGAGGTGTTTAGTAACAAGCATTAAACTTTTTAAGTTTTCTGCACCTTTCATTTACAAACGCACATTTGTTTGTACTTCTTACCCAGTGGGAAAATGTAGGGTACATATCATAGTCGGAAAAATAATCAGTAAAACATCCGTTTTCACATTAGAAAGTGCATTTTTTCACCACGGCGATGTCCCATGAAAAGTATGACATTCAATTCTGCATTACCTAGTATCGAGGAATGTATGTATGTATGTGATTTAATACGATTTTTTTACTTATTGGATATATTAGAATACACAGAAAAAAATGCTTTACGACTTTTAGCACTGGGTACATACCGCCATCATCAATGCAAAATGACGTATTTTACGCTTTTGCGGAAATACGGTAATTTACATACATATATATTCCATTATCCGGCTATCAAGTCCACCATTATTCTAAAACTAAAAGCCATATCTAATAAAGATACAAGATTTGTTAGCATCTTTAAAACAGATCTTTAAGCATTTCCTATGCAAATTAAAAAGGTTTATTGCTTCTCCTGTGAAAATTCAAATTAGTCGAAGTCATTGACCTAGGCTTTTCGTGGCGCGATATAGAGTCGGCTTACCTACTGTGGCCAGATTTCTGTGAACAAAAATCAGGACATTTTTAAAGCATCGAATCCAATATACAAGTTAGTTTTTAGAATAAAAAAAGATATAACGTATTTTAATACAGTTTCTATATTGGGGCGGGTCAAACATTTAATTTTTCTCAAATACTTTTGTAATAGTGAAAATATATTGTATCATGAGGTCAGCAAGAAGCCTGTAAAATAGTAATCGTTTATTTTAATTTACGCAAAGCACACTGGTCGAATAAGACGATTCTTGTTAAAAATTCAGTGTTCAGCAAAAAGGTTTGGTGGATATTATTAGATAATGAATCTGTAAACGCAAAATACAAAGTCAAATATCAGCTCTGGCAGCCCTTTAAATTATGGTTACTCTCAAACTTATCTGTTTTTCAACCAAATTGTAATTGTTCTGTTGATAATTGCACTGGTCTTTAGGCAAAAGATGTAAGGAACAGCATTGATATTTCTGGGGTGTATTTAGGTTGCTGGTTCCAAATATACTAATCTGTTTTTCATATTAGCCAGACTTGGCGAAGTTTTGCCTATTTGGGAACAGTTTCGCTAGCTATGATACGAAAACCTTTATTTTCCATTATCGCACGGTGGTCTGAATAGAGAGTCTAGCCGGACAAAACTATTTTTATTGATTGGTGTTGATGGATTTGTACACCAGTTCTTATCTACTAGTTTATGGGGACTTCAGTAAGGTCTGCAAAATCCAATATGGCGGACAAATTTTTTAAAATTTATTGAATTCGCTCGAAACTTGTTACTCAGGGGTATTTGGAGTCGCTGATCGTGAATCTGACCATATATTTTTAAAATTCAAAATGGCGGATCCAATATGGTGGAATCATTTTAAAAAATTTATTGAATTCGCTCGCAACTATTTTCTCGGGTATTTTTGGTAGTATTTCGGAGTTTTTATGCTGGCTGATTACTAATCTGAAAGCAGATTCGCTATGGCGAACAAATTAAAAAAAAAAAAACAATTGTATGGGTATCGCAAAAGCGCGTAAAAGAGTATATTGTACCTTAAAGCCAACATTTCATAGAATAAGATTTTATGAATTTCGAG